ATGCCAATCCCTAGCATTGTCTCCAATCATCATTTCTAAAGTATTTTTGACAATCTTGTTTGTTGCCTCGGCCTGCCCATTTGCCTAGGCATAATAAGGTGAGGAATTTAATATTTGAATGCCATATTCTGTGGCAACCCCTTTAATCTCATCTCCATTAAACACTGTGCCTTGATCGACAATTATGGACTGGGGTAAACCAAACCTATGAATCACATTCTTTTTCAAGAATTCAATGATTTGAGTCTGTGTCACCACTTTTAAAGGCACTGTTTCTACTCATTTAGTAAAGTAATCAGTAACTACTAGAAAATAAGAATGTGCTTTTGAAGAGACTGGGAAAATCTGCCCTTTCAAGTCCATAGCCTATCCTCTAAAAGGCCAAGGTTTTACTACTGAATGAAGACTTATGGTTGGAACTCTTTGAATATTGCCATGTTTCTAGCAATTTTGACATCCTTTTGCATATATTATGCAATCTTTTCTGATAGATGGCCAAAAATAACCATACATGTTAATCAACCATATCATCTTGTCAGCAGCCTGATGGGCCTCACAAATTCCCTCATGTGCTTCGGCCATGGCTTTCATTTGCTCTAATTTACCAATACAAAGTAAAGTCAAACCATCATAAGCCTTCCTAAATAAATCATCTCTCATGATGACATAATTTAGGGCTTGATATTTTATCTGCCTACTACTCCTTTCACTAGGATTCGACAGTTATTTTATTAAGGAGAATCTCCAATCATCCTTTGTCACATCCAAAGTAAAAATAGGCAAGAAATTTCTACACCTATTCTTAAGTGCAGAAAAGTTTCTTCTCTTAATTCGAATCACCCTTTCTTGAGCTCCCTTAGGTATTTTTAAACTAGAAGCTGCTTGAGCCATCTCATTGGCCTCTTTATTCTCCAATCTATATCTGTGTGTAAAGGTAACATGATCAAAGAAATTGATTAACCATTTGACCTCAATTAGATACTCCTCCAGGACACCACTTACACACTTGAACTCTCATATGACTTGTTTAATGACCAACTGTGAATCTCCTAAAACTTGAAGACTTCTTATTTTGAACTCTATGGCCAACTTTAGGCCAATTATCAGAGCTTCATACTCAGCTTGATTACAAGACTGAATATGTTATGCTTCGAACTGATACGCAAATTGGTACATTTGCTTATTTGGTGCAATTAACACAATACATGCTTCTACTCCTTTATCTGTCTTTGAACCATCGAACATCAACTTCCAAGGTTCATTCTCCACCATATTTATTTCATATAAATCTAAATCGACAGAGGTACAGGGGTGTTCTGTCAAAAAATCAGCCAAAGCTTGTGCTTTGACTGCTTTTTGTGGCACATATTTGAGACAATATTCAATTAATGCTAAAATCCACTTACCCTGTCTTCCCCTCAAGATTGGTTTAGATAGCATGTATTTAATAACATCTATTTGTGCTATCACAAACACTTCTGTGGGCAACATATAATGCCTTAATTTAATGGCTGCAAAATAAAGTGCTAAACATAGCTTTTCGACATAGTTATACATAGTTTCAGCATCATTTAACCTTCTACTTAAGTAGTAAATGGCTTGTTCATGCCCCATACTATTTTCTTGAGCCAAAAAACAACCAATCGACATATCAAAAGCTGAAATATACAGTTTCAAAGGCTTTCCCACTATTGGGGGCATAAGCCCTGGAGGGTTTGCCAAATACTTTTTGATTAAATTAAAAGCTTCTTGATGGCATGCTTCCCACTTAAATTCATGGTTTGACTTGATTTTTATCAAAAGGGAAAATACTAAAGTCTTCTTAGCTAAATTCGCTATGAATCTCCTAAAAAAATTGACTTTTCCAAGAAAACTTTGTAACTCTTTCTTGTTGGCTGAGGGTTTTGCCTCCAAAATTGCTTTCGCTTTGTTGGCATCCACTTCTATCCCTTTGTGGTGCACTAAGAAGCCCCAAAACTTTCCAGTCGATACCCCAAATACACACTTTAAAGGGTTCATTTTGAGTTTGTAAGTTCTCATCCTTTGAAATGTCTGCTGCAAATGTTCTAAATGCTCATCAAAACTGTCAGACTTGATGGCTACATCATCTATGTAGACTTCTAAATATTTCCCAATCAAATCATGGAAAATTCATTGCCCTTTGGTGTGTTGCTCCTGCATTCTTTAATCCAAAAGGCATGACTACCCATTCAAATGTCCTCAAAGCACCAGGACATCTGAAGGATGTCTTATATGTATCTTCTAGGTTAATAAAAATTTGATTATACCCAACATGACCATCCACAAAGGACAAAATCCCGCTTTTGGCTATTGAATCCACTAACAAGTTAGCAACTGGCATAGGATAGTCATCCTTAGAAGTTACTAGATTTAGATTTCTAAAGTCTATGCACACTCTTAACTTGCCATTTTTCTTCATTACAGGGACAATATTAGATAGCCACTCCGCATACCTAGTTGTTCTAATAAAACCTGTTTTAAATAATCTTTCGATTTCCTCCTTAACCAATAAGGTGACTTCTTTAGTCATCCTTCTTAGAGGCTGTTTATAGGGATGGAAATTTCCTTTAATTAGGAGTCTATGCTCTACCAATGTTCTATCTAATCTAGGCATTTCTTCATAAGCACATGCAAAACAATCCACATACTCAAAAAGCAAACCAACTAGTTTGCTCTTACATTCATCAAATAGATTAGCATTACATAGATGGGCTTCTTACAGGCCTTACTCCCTAAGTTATATTCATCTAATAGGTCCTGCACATCTTCTTTGAGGTCATTAAGCTTGGTAGCAGCAGCCTTCAGATGTTCCAGTTGCACCTCTTTATAACTTAGAGGGCTACTGTCGATAACACATTCTGCCCAAGAACAATTGGGCATACACTTAGGGCTAAACTTACTTTCTAAGAAAAAAAAAAAAAAAAAAAAAAGCCTAGAAAAAGTAAATCTAATTACATTAGTTGTCTCATCCAGCTTGTCTTCTTCTATCACTTGTACTTGCATTACTCTTCATCCTCAACAACCTCCTCTATCACAGGCCTTTTCTGCTTTTGCATCAGGCTTGGCTTGGCCAATTCCTGGCCTATCTGCTTAAAACCTTCCTTAATGAAGGCCTTGAATTCTTCATTTGTCAAACCCTTTCCCTCAGACTTAACCTATTTTTTATCAATCACAACTAGACCCAAATCCTTATCATATAGCACAACTTCGATGTTATTAACATTAGCAACAAAGGGATTTGCATCTGCCTAGTAACCTTCCATTCCTCCTTTACCACCACTGGTTAAGAAAATCAATGCCTGGTGCAGAGAAGAGGGTACACAACCATTAAAGTGTATCCAATCTCTACCTAATAGCACATTGTAGTTAGAAGTGGAATCTATTACAAAGAAAGTTGTTCCCATTGACCTGGAACCAACATGAAGTTGTAAAGCCACCACTCCTCTGGCTTCAGACGATCCACCAGCAAAATTACTTATGTTCACATCAGTAGGAAGCAAGTCATCAACAAATTTCCCAATAGCTTTCAGTGTTCTAGAAAGAAGAATATTGACAATGGCTCCATTATCAACCAACACCCTTTCCACTGGCACCCCTTCTAAATAAGCTCTGACATATAAAGGCCTTAAATGCCTGATGAGCTTATTCTTTGGTTTTTGCAACACAACTTTTTCTCCATCAGCAGACCTAATCACCTCAATTGACTTCAGTGGCTTGGTTTGTGTCTTAACCACTGCTATCTGAACTACTTGTTCAATCAGATCTTCAACATCTCCTGCCAATTCATCTGGTTGGTTTAGCTTGGCCTGAAACCTCTGAGGGATGGCCATAATCATGTTACACTCCTTGGATGGAGGTAAAGAACTAAAATGAATAGCAGCCAACTTTTCTCTAAAGTCACCATCAGAACTATTTGTTTTGACTTCATCTTCTTTAATTTCCTTATTAATATTCATGTCATTAGTGACCATATCCTAATCCTGAATTGCCACATCTTTCTCAACACTATCGTCTTTATCAGAAATTAGATCTTTATCCAATTCTTTTAGCTTCTGCCTCAGCAAAGCCTTCTCAGAGAGCTTCCCAACAGGTCTGTCATCTGCCTTTTCTGGCTCCATCTTCCTTTTCAGAAGCTGAACTGGTTGAATTGAATGGGCTCTAAAAGTTGAACCCTTCCCTTCCTTTCCTCCAGCAATAGGAGCCAATACATCTCTAGTCCACACTAGATCTTGCCTTCCAGCTAGCCTATCACCTACAGCTGTAGACATTATAGCATGGAATCTCCTTTGTTCTCTCCTTTTTTGAGTTCTTGTTTCTCATATTTGTCTCCAACTACTCATTGGAAACTTTGGGTGAGACACTCCTTGCCACCCTAGATGAGATGGTATTGGAGGTTTCACCATCCTTGGTTGAACTAATTGTATTTCTGGCCTCATTCTTGGGCTATGATGTTGCTGTTGAAATCCTCCAAATGGTCTTACAAACTATTGCTGCCCTCCATATGGCCTTCCAGCCTATTGATGACCACTATGTAATGAACCAAATTGCTGTTGCTAGCCACTGTATGGCCTAGTCACAACCCTTGGATTTCCATAGGGTTTAACACCCTTATGTTGTTTGAACATAGCCATCACATTGCTTGATCCACCAAAACATGGATGAACATGAGCTCCTTGGAATAAAAATGGAGCATCATCCTTGCCATAGTTCTCTGTAGGACCAAATATTCTTGGATCTTTCCCATCATAGAACAAATAATCATTATCAAAAATCTGCAAATCACCACTACCCATAGTATTAAACCTCAGGCCAACATCCTTTCCAATTTTTTGAATTCCATTAATCACAATGGCCTTAGCCTTTTCTTTATCAGTATCACACCTGAAACAAATGAACCTATCACTAGGCTCTTCCTGAACTTTTTTCCCTTTTGTTTCTTTTTCCATTTTCTCCATTCTCTCCTTATGAGGTTTTTCTAACTATACCAAGAGAACTCTAGGGTTTTTTTCTTTTTTCTTTTGATCATTTGACTGAAAATCAGTTGCTACCATATTGATTTCCACAATATTGGGAAATGGATCATTATCCACTGCCATGACCCCTTTATCTTTTTCAGTATACTTCAACATTCCCTTTTGAATTAAATCCTGCACACAATTGTGAAATGTAACACAGTTATTAGTGGAATGCCTGAAAGAATTATGCCACTTACAATACTCCTTGCCAAGCCTGTCCCTTTCTTTGGGAATGTTGTGGCCTGGAATCAGAGTTAAAAATTTATTTGCTAATAATTCATCAAATAATGCATCTGCTTTTGATAAATCAAAAGAATACTGCCTATGTGATACAACCACATTCTTTTTGGCTGGCTGTGTTGTTGGCATACTTACAGGTTTGTTAGCTTTCCTTAATGTTTCACAAGCCACAAGTTTTTTATCTATTACTTGAGCAACATCTATGTCGATATCAATATCAAATTCAACCTCTTGGTAATAAGTTCCTAATGAGGTTGCATTTCTCTGCTGCTCTTCTCTGAGAATGGCCTCATAACTAGTTGCCCTTGAAGATAACTCAAACAGGTCTCTAAACATCATGCCTTCAAATTTTTTCCTAAGTTCAAAGTCTAAACCATTCTGGGCTAACCTTATAACTTCTATTTCAGGCATGTACACATGACATCTATTTTTTACTTTTTTAAACCTGTCGATGTACTGTTCTGCACTTTCTCCTTGCTTTTGTTTAAATTTTGACAAATCCACCATTGTCACTTCAGGCTCAGTTTCTAAAGAACTGAGCATGAAACTGACTCTCCATTTTCTTGCCAAGTATGGACAGAATTTTATGGCAAGTTAATAAACCATGTAAATGTTACTTTCAACAGAGAATGAGGAAAGAGTTTTAGTTTTAAATTATCATCATAACCAGGTTCTCCACACTGGAGAATGAACCTACCTACATGTTTTATAGTTAACTGTCTCTCTTCTCTTGTAAACAAAGTAAATTCAGGAATCCTATAGTTTCTTGGGATGGGAGTTGTTTCCACCCATGGAGGATAACGACTCCTAAACATTGGTCTATCTGGCCTTCTCAGGCCTAGGCCATATATTTCTTGTATGATGTTCATTATTTGCTGCCTATTATTAACCTGAGGGTCTAAATATTGCTACTGATGTCTCCCTCCTTGAACTTCTGGTTGGAAGTAAGGAAAAGGAGGACCAAGCCCTCTACGCCTTGGATGCATTATGTTAGGTTCATAATAAGGTTGTTGTATAACATGTTCCTGAACATTCTGAGGCCTTGCTTGATTCACTGGACTATTTCTTTGTTCCTGATAACTAGGCCCATCAAATGCAGGAATACCATATGCAGGAGTGCCATACACTTGTGGCCTTAGTTGCCCCCCAGGTCTCGTTCCCATATATTTAAGTTATGATTAAATACTAAGTTTGTGGGGTATTCTCTCTCAAACACAAGATTTATGGTCATTCATTCCTCATATTTTTCTTGGAGTGTGAGAGGTCTATAGAATGGCACAAGTTCATTTATATTTTCATGTTATTGAGGAGTCATAGGTGGTATAAATTGTGCTTTATTTACCTGAGTCTCATCTCTGATCCTTCTTGATTGGCTTAGCTTGATGTTGGCTTTCTCAAACAAAGCCAGCAAGTCATCTATCATCACTTGGTTCTCATATGCAGACATGCAACCAATTGTTTGCTGAGTGTACAACAAAAGAGCCCTTTCTCGGATCAACAAGAGGGTAACTAGATCGGCCATTTTTTGCCATATTTTGGCCATTTCTTTGGCTTATTTCCTGTCTGGCCATTGAATGGCCATCAACTAAGTTGTCTTGCACTCCTCCAAGCCCACCTTCCAACTCTTCTCCTTTTTCAACCCTTTTCTCAGGGTCTTCAAAGACTTCATGGTGTTTCTTTCTACACATCACTCCAAATTAGACAAGTTCCACTGGCGTGCCAAAATATGTTAGCAAAAATCTGGTCTGGGTCAAATCGACAGAGGTAATTCGATAGAGAAACCAAAATTTCACATACAATAATAGATCAAGTGACTATGGTTGGTGTTCTATGCCTTGATAGATTCAAGGACTTCTTTGGAGGTTGTAATACGAAGAAACAGGTGTGAATAAACTGAAAATCGATTGAAGAATAAGTAAACTTGATACTTAATTACAAGAATTAAATTACAAGTTCAGTGTGCATGATAATCGACAGTGGAAAATTTGGCTATAGAGACTGAATTACAAACAAACTACTCCTAAATACAGAAATCATTGCTAAGTAAGTTAAATTACTCCTAATTCCACATGGGTTGTGAATTTGATTGATGATCCTTTTTCCTTCGAATTTTTCCACCTTTATACTGCTGGCATTGCTACTTCTCTGCTGCTACGTGTCCCATCATGAAGCAAGTTTCCACTACTTCCTGCATAACTGCCCATGATCTCCATAACCGCTAATAACTGCTTCTTTGCTATAGCATTTTTACTCTTACACACTTCTTTGCACACAAGCCACGTGTCCTGCCTCACTTGCATGCCTAATCTCCATGACTTGACACCTGAGCCACGTTTGGCCATATCCCACTGCATTATCGGAGGAATCGACAGAATCATCTACTACATCTGCTCCTTTAATGGCTTCAACTGTCATTTACTCTGCATCTTGGGGTCCACTCCCCACTAAAAACTTGTGGTCTTCATTCCTAGCATCCCTTGGATCAACCCTTTGTAGTTGTTATGTTTATTTGACAGAGAAGATAAATTTTAGTGCTAACATCCGGACTTTCAAAATCACTTGTTAGCTGATTGTTTCCAACATTGATCTCCTAGAGTAGTTGCAAATTTCCAAAATTTGTCAGCATCGGTCCAGTAAATAAGTTGACTTCTAGATTCAACCTTGTTAGCCTGGAAGAATTAGACAAATATGTAGGAATGTTTCCACCAAGTTGGTTGCTTTGCAACTGAAGCATCAAAAGATTTTGGAAGCCGAAGCCCAACAATTTCTGGGAGGTTTCCAAAGAAATCATTAAAATCAAGGCAAATGGATTGTAGGGAGGGGAAGTTAAATATTTCTTGAGGTATTGGCCCAGTGATGTAATTCACTTCAATATTAAATTCAATTAAAAAGGCTACCCAAATCACCAGGAATGTTTCCATGAATATGGCCATCCCCTAAATAAAGTTGCACCAAACTTGAAATATTGCCCAGAGAAGGTGGGATGGTTCCAGCAATCTTGTTATTTCCAATATAAAACTTGTTAAGCTTAGGACGACTCCCGATTCCTTCTGCGACACTTCCATTTAAACTATTATTATTGGTTATCCTACATTGAAACTTTAAGAGAGCTTTTGTGAGTATATAAACTCTAGGTGGACATACTTGGGTTGGGCCCCAAGAGGCACCCCAAGTTTTGTAAGGAGGGGAGTTATAAACAAAGTGGGCTTTGGCCCAAAACCACCACACGAACGCCATCTTCCAACTGGCTAAGCCGGGTGTGGGTGGGTTGGGTCCTAACATTCATTTGAATTTTTCAAATACTTGCAGGAAAATTTAAAATTCTAAAGGAATTACTTCAAATTTTTTGCTCCAAATTCAAAATTCAAATTCTTGTCCGAACCAGAAGATGTTGGCTAAAAGAAATTCGTGGTGAGCAAATTTTTAGATTTTATAATGGTTGATTCAAAAACTGTGATCAACCAAGTTCAGGATCTCCAACTCATTCTGCATAATATCCATGAAGAAGGCATGTCACCATGCAAGTCCTTCCAAGTCACTGCCCTAATTGAAAAATTACCACAAGGATGGAAGGAATTCAAGAACTATCTCAAGCACAAGCGCAAAGAAATGACTTTAGAAGAGTTAATTGTGAGACTGAGAATTGAGGAAGACAACCGAAGTTCGAAAAAGAGGGTTGGAAAGCATCCTATGGAGTCTAAGGCATATGTGGTGAAACATGCACACAAAGCAAAGAAACGAAAATTCTCCAGAGAAAGTTCCTCACAAGGCCCTAAGGGAGGGAATACCAAGAAATTCAAGTTTAATGGCAAATGCTACATCCGTGACAAAAAGGGATACCGGGCCAAAGATTGTCATAGCAAGCGCAAAGGAAAAGGAAAGTCAAGTAAGAAACCTGCTCAAGCCAATGTCACTGAAATGAATAGAATCTCCAATTGCGTTGATGACATAAACCTTTTAGCCATTGTCTCTGAAGCAAACCTTGTCAGAAATCGCAAAGAATGATGGGTGGACACTAGAGCCACTCGTTACATATGTGTCGACAAAAAGATGTTCTTCTTCTATTCAGTAGTGGACAATGGAGAACAACTGTTCATGGGTAACTCCTCGACTTCTAAAGTTGAAGGACAAGGAAAGACAATTTTGAATATGACATCTAGAAAAGAACTCACCCTCAACAATATGCTGCATGTACCAAACATTTGCAAGAATCTTATTTCCGGATCTTTGTTGAGCAAAAATGAGTTTAGGCTAGCTTTTCAAAGTGACAATTTTATACTTACCAAAAACAGGATGTATCTATGAAAAGGCTACATGAATGATGGCCTTTTCAAAATGAATGTAATAACTATTGTCTCTCCTATGATTAATAAAAATACATCTTCTTCTTATTTGCTTGATTTTTCTAATTTATGACATCGTAGATTAGAACATATTAATTATAGATCTTTGTATAGATTAAATATTAATTATAAATCTTTGTATAGATTAATTAATATGGAATGTTTACCTAAATTTGAAATTGATCCAAATCATAAATGTGAAATTTGTGTTGAGACAAAGTTAACTAAAACTCCTTTTCATTCAGTTGAAAGCAGTACTGAACCACTTAAATTAATTCATAATGACATTTATTATTTTAAATCAATTCAAACTAGAGGTGTGAAAAAATATTTTATCACTTTCATAGATGACTATACTAGATATAGTTCTATTTATTTAATTCGAACCAAAGATGAAGCTTTGGAAACCTTCATTCAATATAAGAATGAAGTTGAAAATAAACTTGGCAAGAAAATTAATATTCTAAGAAGTGATAAAGGTGGTGAATATGAATCACCTTTTGGTGAGTTTTGTAAAGAACAAGGAATAATTCATCAAACTACCGCTCCTTACTCACCTTAACAAAATGAAATTGCTGAAAAGAAAAATAGGACTTTAAAAGAAATGATGAATGTCGTGTTAATAAGTTCTGGATTATTTCAGAACTTGCGGGGGGAAGCAATACTTTCTACTAATTATATTTTTAATAAAGTACCCCAAAAGAATGTGAATCAAACACCTTATGAAATGTGGCATGGGAGAGTGCCGTCCTACAAACACTTAAAAGTGTGGGGGTATTTGACTAAAGTGGCTATTCCTAGTCCTAAAAAGACTAAGATAGGTCCGAAAACTATTGATTGCATATTCATCGGTTATGCCAAGAATAGTAATGCATATCGGTTTTTGATTCATTAGTCCAAACATTCAGAAATGCATATAAATACTATTATTGAATCTAGAAATGCATCATTCTTTAAACATGTATTTCTTAATAAAACTAGACAAGAAACTAGTACTAACAAAAGATCTTATGATGCTATTACTAATCATGATCAAGAACAAGATCAAGTATAAGAGCATGAGATAGATCAAACTGAGGAAGAAGAACCTAGGCATAGTAAACGTGCTAGAACCTCGAAATCTTTTGGTCCAAATTTTCTATCATTTTTGTTAGAAAATGAGTCTTTAACTTTTAAAGAAGTTATGTCTAATTCTGAGGCTCTTTTATGGAAGAAGCCATAGATAGCGAAGTTGAATCCATCTTGCAAAATCACACATGAGAATTAGTGGATTTGCCACCAGGTTGTAAACCTCTTGGATACAAGTAGATTTTCAAGAGGAAAATGAAAGCAAAGGGATCAATTGACAAATACAAGGCAAGACTTGTGGCCAAAGGATATAGGCAAAAAGAATGTTAATTGCTATTGCATCTTTGTATAATCTAGAAATTCACCAAATGGATGTAAAAACAACTTTCTTAAATTGTGAGTTAAATGCAAAAATTTACATAGAACAACCAGAATGATTTTTTGTTCTACGGAAAGAAAATGAAGTGTGTAAATTGGTTAAATCATTATATGGTTTAAAATAAGCGCCAAAGCAATAACATAAGAAATTTGATAAGAAAATGATGCCAAATGAATTTAAAATTAATAAATGTAACAAATGTGTTTATATTAAAAACACTAACAAATGTTATGTTAGAGTGAATTACAAACCATGGGGCCTTCCCTCCAAGTTTCTCGTAAAGACTTAGCAGTACTTGTCATTCAAGTCTTTGATTGAAAAAGATGGCTTGGTTGCATAATTTCCATGGCTTGGCTTGCTGGTCTTTGACGCTACACTACCAGTTACCCTTAATGCACGGTTGGGACCTACTTTAATTTTACATTAAAATTATCATAAAATTATTTTTTTTAACAACCAACTCATCAACCTCAAGGTCAAGCCCAAGACCAATAACCCCCACAATGGGGGATAAATAAGTCATCACCACAAAAGTATCAAACTCTTCTCCATGATATTTGAATCTAAAATTTCACACCACAAGATCTTATTTTTTTTCATCTTTTGATTTGGTGAAGTGAAAATATATGAGATGTATATATGTGAGAGAAATCGAGAGGCTTAGGGGTTGGTTGTATGGATGCGAGTAGCAGTAGTAGGGGTATTTTTATACTTCCGAATCTCTCTCAATGCATGTCATCTTCCTGTACTTTTAATTTCATGCTGTTTAATGAAATTTTTCTTTGCTGATCAAAAAAAAAATATATGTGAGAGAAAGGATAAAATAAAAAGCATAACAGATGATCCCGAGTGGCTTTAAAAATGTAAATGCAATTGTTTCTTAATGAGATTGGGAATCTTCCTTAGCAATCTTGTCAAGTGAGTCTAAGGCTATTTTCGGAATTAAATTAAAAGTTAGTTTTTAAATTTTTAATTTTTTTTTTTTTATAAAAAATGTGTAAAATAGTAAAGAGGTAATACGATCTAAAAAAGTCAAAATATTAAAAAGCTGACTTTTAGCCGAGTTCTCATAATAGGCCAAGTCAATGGAAAAAAGTAACTATTTAGGTCTATTTTGGTGAATAAGAAAAATGTCAGCTTATTAATTTATTAACTTATTTGGGTTGTATCATCACTCTATTTTTTTTACATGTTTTTCTAAAAACAGTCCAAAAAAAAAGTAAAAAAAAATTGTTTTTTTAGTTTTGGAAGACCCATAAGACATTATTTATGCACTGTTCCAAACAGGATAGATCTATAAATATATTTTTTTGAGTTAATTTTAGTATTAACGTATACGTAACCATCCAAAAAATAAGAAAAAGCTATAAAAGAAAAAAATTCTAAGATTTGAGTCTTGTAATAAAATAAACTTTGAATTTTTAATTTTGTGAATTTTAACCCTAATCATCAAACCAAATCAAGCCTTAATCAAATAGAGAGTCAATTTTAACCCTAATCTTTTCATTTATCTTCAATCTAAACCAATTCCGTATTTTCATTAAAAAAAATTGGCAGAAAATGATATTTTAATCATTCAATTCAATGAAAAATGATACTTTAGACATTTTTCATACATCTACATTGAATATAATGACTAACAAGCAATGCTAGGTATCATGAAAATTTTTTCATAAAAATAATCATGAAAGTTTTGTGACCCTTGTATTACACTTAGAATAAAGCACCACACACTAATCAAGGTAATCTAAGGATTATAAATTTTTCATGATCATTTTCATAAAAAAAATTTCATAATCTCTAACTTTTCCCATAACAAAAATATATGTTTCTGTCAATTTAATTTAACAAAAATAGCAAATGGTTTAAATTAAAAATAAATTAAAAGATTAAAATTTAAATTGATAAAATTAAAAATTAAAAATTTATTTTGTTAAAAGGTTCAAATCCTGGATTTTTTTTTTTTATAATTCCCCCAAAATAATAATTTATGGGTAAAATATTAGGCCAAATGTGATGATTGACTTCAGAGTCAAGTCGGCTCTTTATTTTTTGAGTAAGGATCCTCTAGAGTTTTTTTTTCCTAAAGTTTCTTAGAGTAGTGCATTGTGTGGTTGAGATTTAATGACAAGTCACATCAATTTTTCAGCATTAAATCTCAATCACACAATATATCACTTTAGAAAACTTTAAAAAAAAAATACTCTAGAGGATCCTTGGTGTTATTTTCTCGATGGTTAGATTTATAAAAGTGAATTACAAGCCATGGGGCCTTCCCTCCAAGTTTCTTGTAAAGACTTGGCAGTAGTTGTCATTCAAGTCTTTGATTGAAAAAGATGGCTTGGTTGCATAAGTTTCGTGGCTTGGCTTGCTGGTCTTTGACGCTACACTAGTGGTCACCCTTAACTGTCGCGGTGCCAGATGACGTGCCAATCGGCTCTTCTTCCGTCGTCTTCTCTCTCATCGTCTTCGTTTTTTTAGAGTTGTCTGCTTCTCTCTTTCTATTAGGACTGGGCAACTGTTCATCTGACCACCAAAATCAAATAGTCCGAACCAATTCCCCATATATTAGATGGTTTCGATCAATTAAACGGATGCGGATGTATTTTTTTCAATCTACCTAAATTAGGACAGATGGAGGAAGCAAGACCAGTCGATCCCCCTAATCTGCCAACTCCTCTAAAAAAGTAAAATTATACTTTATGATTTGTATATTAAAAAATACATTCCATTTAATAATTGTATTAGTTACTTATGAAATATAAAAATTAGACTTTTATTATTATTATAAAAAAAATTAAGTCCAAATAAGGCTCAAAATAATAAAGGCGCTCTAAGAATTTTTTATTTTTTATTTTTGTTGTCGTGTTTTTTGTCAGAGTATGGTTCTAAAGGAAATTCTGGGCCCAACCGATGAGATGTTCACTGAAGCACTGAGTTTGAAGCAATGGGTGAATGCTTCACTTACGGACCGAGTAATGGAAGCTGTGGATGGTGGTTTGTTGAGAACAGAAGATGGTAGGGATGTGATTGCCTATAAAGATTCTCTTTTAGCCATTATGGAAATAGGTGCAGAGTGTTCTCCAAAATTGGCTGAATGGAGGACTGACATAAAGGATGTGGTGATCAAGCTAAACAAGATCAAATTGTAGCTTCTTCGCAGTGGATATGCTTGATTTGTGTATGCTCTCGTTGTCATGTGCAACTCCGAAAATGGTTGTGTTTAATTTGACCATGAGATCGTCTGTTTGATTTACAACCATTGATTATGCTTCCAAACTCTCGTACTTTAAAATCCTCAAATAATCTAACAATTTTGAATATTGTTCCTCATATACCATGTATGAGTGTTTAGTAAATTTAATTGTGAGCATCTGAATGAAACGTATATTAGTCTTAAAATCTTATTTTCTATACTTTTTAATAAGTTAGGTAAGGTTAGGTAAAAAATTGAAAATGACATGATACCTCTTAATTGAAATAATATTAAAATGTGTAGTTAAGTTTTTATTAAACGAGTTATCCGTATCAATTTTGTGTTGTGCGAATTTGACACTAATTAAACCTGCTTAATATTGATGATAATATTGGATCATATTATATACATATTTGTATCGAAAACTAATCATCTTAATTACTAATTTCATGTACGACTCGAGTTGTGCTATCGTGTTATTTAAAAAAATATTCACCCTTAATTTGGCAAACTTATAAAGATAAAAATCTTTTTTGAGACACAAGTTTTCTTTTAATTAGCTCAAGAATGAGTATTAAGACTTAATTAAATCAACATAAGGTGATACATAATATAATAAATAAAACATAAGAAAAATTTATTCATAAATCCAATATGGGAGAATGTTGATCCATTTAGCCCTAAGAGTTTTCTTAGGAACCAATTAGTCTATTTTGTTTTGGAAAGTTGTATTTACTTGATTTGGTGCCATTAGAATTTAAGTGAATGCTTTTTTATGATTCATTTTTTTTATTTTCTGATTCATTTTTGGATGGGAATGAAAATGTGAGGTGTGGAAGATTCTTTTTGAAGTAATTGGTGGCTAAAGTATTGGTTGTCGAGCGTAGAAATCTACATTTTTGTTAGTGATTTTTTGATATTACATTAGAGTGTTACATTAAAGCGTTAAGTTTGGAAAAAGTATACTAAGGAGTTTTTTTGTGTTACATTGATTGAAGTGTTACGTTTAAAAAACAAATACACTAAAGAATTTTTTTTGGAATGTTACGTTGTTATGTTTGAGAAAAGTGCATTAAAGAATTTTTTAGTGTATTACATTACAGTGTTACGGTTGGACGAAGTGCACTAAAGTGTTTTTGTGTGTGATATTGATTGGAATGTTATATTTGGAAAAAAAAAAGTACACCAACGAGTTTTTTTAGAATATTATGTTGTTGCGTTTGAGAAAAGTATACTAAGAAATTTTTTAGTATGTTAAATTGATTAGAGTGTTACATTTGAAAAAAGTACATTAAGGAATTTTTAGTATATTACATTGGAGTATTATGTTTGGAAAAAATAAACTAAGAAATTTTGGTATGTTAGAATGTTTGGGAAAAATATACTAAGAAATCTACATTTTTGTAAGTTTTTTAGAATGTTACGTTTAGGAAAAATATAGTAAAGAATTTTTTAACGCATTACATTGGAGTGTTACATTTAGAAAAAGTATACTAAGGTGCTTTTTAGTGTGTTATATTGGAGTATTACGTTTGGAAAAAATACATTAAGAAGTTTTTGTAAAATCTAGTATTATTGAAAAATCCTTTCTAAAATCTAGATGCATCCCATGTTAATGTGGTTATTGATTTAGCCAATTCAATAAAAATATTATGCACCATGATCACTATAAAGAGAGAGTAAGAGAAAATCAATCCACGATACAAGATATTTTTTACATGGAAAAATAGAATTGGAATCCATCAACGTGTGATAAAAAACCACGGGCCCTCGGCTAGACGAATAATCCACTATGCAAGAGAGGTAATACAAGAGATATCTTACAAAGATCAATCCAAGCACACGAGTCCACTCACTGGCACACGACTTCGCTTAATCTACAGGTACCTCTGCAATCTCCACTTGATATCTGCTACGGTTGTCAAATCGCCATGACGCCAATGATTCTGAAATCCACCGAAATCTACAATCTTGGAATCCACCAAGAAGGTTGTCAAATCACCACAATGCCAATGACTCTGGAATCCACCGAAGCCTATAATCTTGGAATCCATCAAGAAAGTTCACTATTGGGAAGGTGTGGTGAACTTACAAAGCTTGATGATGAACTTGAAGTTCCTATAGCTAATGTATCATCAAGCAAGTGAGAGCACTACACACTACAAGTTCACTCTAAAAAATAAACTCAATAAAATCTATCTTACAAAATATACTCTCTCAAAATATATTTATCTGAAAATAAACTCTCTCTAAGTTTGGAAATATTGAGTGCTCTAAAGAATTAGAAAATAAGCTGGGAGAGATACCAAAATGGTCTTGGAGAGATGCCTCAACGAATGAGCAAAGGGTCCTTTAAATAGACCTGAGGCAGGGCAAGTTCGCGGGCATTGATATGTTAATTGTGGGTTATAGAGAAAAGTATAGAGAGTGTCTCTTTCGGAGGCTGCACATCGCAGGCGGGAATCAATTGGTCATGGGCGCGATTAACTTGATCGCGGGTGCAAGTGGTTAGGTCGTGGGCGCAATGGCAAGGGCTTCGCATCGCGGGCGCAACCTAGGCATATTCCAGCAGCTTTTACTTCGAGTTTTAAGGCACGATTTCTTGCAGGCTTTTGATAGATACCCTTGACAGATAGCTTCCTTTTAGGTTGGAAAATGTCAACAATCTCTCATGCTTGTCCTCCAAAAAATATTACACAAGTTGACTTAACAAAAAGACCCAAAACATTATCCAATTTCGTTTGACAAGTTTGCCAACAAATCTTTGTCCCAACAAGCCCAACTCTTTTTCAAGCCACCAAAACTAAAACTTTTCATTTTACAAAACCAAGAAGATAAAAAACCAACTAAGAAACAATTTTGTCAACTTTGTCTCGGCATTTGCCAAAATAAATCACATGGAACAAAGATTAGCATTAAAATTCCAAACAGCTTTTGTGTGTTACATTAATTGGAGTGTTACATTTGAAAAAAATACAATAAAAATTTTTTTTAGTATGTTATATTAGAGTGTTACATTTTTGTAGTGTTACGTTTGGAAAAAGTACAGTAAAATTTTTTTAGTGTTACATTAGAAATAGTGCACTAGGGACTTTTGTGTGTGTGTGTGTGTGTGTTGAAATGTTACGTTTAGTAATTTCAACAATGCTAGGTGGCTCAAAAAAACATGGCTCAAATGGCTCGAAACACCCAAAACAACGTCGTTTTAACACATTCGAGCCACAGAAATTTGGGCCACCAAACATTTTCTTAGTAATTTTAACATTATAAGAAAACCAGCATTTTGGCCCTTTATGTAATTGATACTAGAATGAGACCTTTGTATCCGTAAGAAAAAGGAAAGGACCGAAGCGTTCATAAGATCGCTATTTAAGATTTATTGATACATCACCCAAAATATAATACGTAATTGTATTCATCATAACATTATTATTTCATTGATAGTTCCATCAAACTATCCATATGCTTCGTAGACTTTATTTCTTGTTAATGCAATTCTTGTTCCTTCAATTGATATTAGTGCTCAGTGGAAGACTAGGAAGCTGCTGTGAAGTTGTATATTTCTTATTGGTTGGAACTGGTAACTACTTCATATGGTTCACCCCTGGATGCCACAAAAATGTTTTGGCCTGTAGCCCTTCCTTGTAAAAGTCACTTTAAAGCAGCAGTTAAGATGAGAGCCTTGAAAGTTGTAATTGTTAAAATAGCTTATGGGGTTTTGTGCAATTTTTTTTGGCAAATCACCTCTTTTAAATGTTGTTCATCTCACAATGATGAGAGCTACTCTTTAAGTTTAAGTAATTTGACTTCTTCTTGACCATTTTGATTTCAATTGATGTATTTAAAGTCTGAACATGAATTGTTTCTATTCTTGGGTATGCAATGCATTGTTTCTTATTTTTAATTTTGTTTCCAAGCTTAGTTTATTTATTATTTTAATAAACATCAATTCTTAGTTCTGAATAATTGTTTATGATAGGTATTTTTTTAGTTCAATCATATAAAATTAGCACAATTTAAAAATAAAAATAAAAAGGCTATGGCGGCGTTTTTTAAACGTCACTATATCCTAACACCAACGGCTAGATTTTTAAAATGTATAAATGTCTATGACGGCGTTTTTCAAACGTCGCTAAAATATTGTGTGACATCATCTTACCGTTATGTAGAACTTTTAGCGGCGTTTTTAGAAAAAGCCGCCTATAGTAATATAGCGACATTTCTAAAGCGCCATAAGATTATAGCAATAGCCGTGCTTTGGCGTTTGGTGCTAAACGTCACAAAAGGATTTGACAACGTTTTGAAGACCTATAGCGGCGTTTTTTAAACGCCTCTAAAACGCCTATTTCCAGTAGTGACTGATACATCACCCAAAATAAAATACGTAATTGTATTCATCATAACATTATTATTTGATTGATAGTTCCATCAAACTATCTATATGCTTCGTAGACTTTATTAAATTGTTTTGATTGTGTGTTGTGTTGTATGGAAACCCTTATCTCGAATGGGGAGGGGGAGTGTAGGGGCGGAGCCATCTAACGCCTAGGAGGGTCACGTGCCCCTCTTAAACTTTCAATATTTATACTGTTACCCATGTAGATAAACATCATGTATTAGGTATCTTTTATAAAAGTATAATAGTGACCCTCCTTAAATTATGTAAAACTTTTTGCTTTTTAAAAATTTTAAAAATACGCTATTTTATTATTTTGATTATTCTTGTACACTTTTAATTGATAGGACAAGGTAAGAATTGAATCAATTGATAATTCATTTCTTATTATAGGATTTGTTTAGTTGCTTATTTCTCCTCATTGTGGAGCACTTCTTTTTTTTTTGCTTATTTCTCCTCATTGTGGAACTTTTTTTTTTTGAGTTGATAGGATTGAACTTATTGATTATTTGGTTAATGAAATTTAGTTATTGATTGTGGATTTATAAGTCACCTTAATGTAAATATAAGGATAATTGTGATAAAAATAAAAATGTATAAGTTTAATAATATCTCATTGTTACTTGTTATGGGAGAAGAAAACAAAACTAATGTGGTGATTAATGTGTGCCCTTCTACATTGAATTTCTGACTCCACTGACGGAGTGTATGATGAAGACTGTGAAGTCTAGGCCACCTCTTAATTTCCTTAATAATAGAGTTAGATGGATGCCTGACCCACCTCTTAATTTCATTAATAACAGAGTTTAGATGCCTGACATCATCAAAAACATATATAAGCCTATTTTTTAAATTTAATGATGTATAAATAAAATAATTAGTTAATAATTAAAGAAAATATGAACAAGAGAAATAGCACATGAGAGTGATTGGTTAATTGATTATTAGATTTGAAAAGTGAGTCTAATTTTTTGATTTAAATAACAACAATGTTATATATAATATTATTTCTTATTAATAGATGCGTATGAAATTCATTTATTTAGAAAAAGAAATAAAGAAATAAGTTGTACTTGTATCGTAGGAATTTGAAAATAAAAAATATAAATAAAATATAATAGGTTACATATTTCAAGGACCGAAGTAGAAAATTAAAATATTATAGACTATAGTATAACAAGTAGCATTTTTTATGAGCATTAGTATAGTTAACCCCAAATAATTAATTATACTTATTGTCCTTATATTTTTACTAAGATTTCACTTTGACACTTCTACTTTCAACCATACAAACATGGGTCAAGTTTATTTATTATGTTGTGGTAACGTTAAGATTATTTAAAAGGGTTTTCAGTTTAAGATTTTTGTTATTAAAATTTTATCAGATAAATGATACTCAACATTTTAATAGTAGTTGGGGACCTTCAATATTTTTATAGAAAAATTTCAGTACAGAGAAATTTTAATACAAAGAAATTTCAACATAGAGAAATTTGTCTTCGCAGAAAAATTTCAGTTCTTCAAAAAGAAATTTCAGAAATTTTACAGAAAAATTTAAGTTCGTCACAGAGAAATTTTTAATAATATTATTGAGTGATCCTAACTCAAAAAAAACATATATTAGACCTCTCCTACTATCAAAAGTTAGAGAAAGATGTTTCACTAATTTTTCCTATTTAAAAGTGATTTGATTTGATTTGATTTCCAATTTAATTTTGTTAGTAGACACCATTAAATTCACTAGTAAATTTAAAAATTGAATAAAAAAAATTACATTTTTAATTTAAAAAATATGCTATCTTTGTCATTTGGCTCATCAATATTTACAAATTCATGAGAAAATTTGATTTGTTTAATTAAATTTTAAAATCTTATTATTAAGTGTTATATCGCATTAGTTAATATATTTAAAATGAATGTACATTTCTATATGGAAGTAGATTGTCGAGAATGTAACCATAATTTACAAAAGCCAAAATTTAAATATGCTCTAGAGTTAATTGACTGGTATTTGGACAGAAACTTACGCTCCGTTTGTTTGAGTGAAAAATATTTTTTTTTAAAATAATTTGGTACAATGAAAAACAAAGTTAATAAAAAATATTTTTCATAGTCAACAGCAAACAAATCTATTTAGACTGAAAATATTTTTCATTTTTAAAAGAAAAAAAATATTTTCTAGATTAAAATTTTACAAATCTCACCAAACTATCACCTCTACCACCACGGCCACTACTACCATCACCATTGCCATTACCCCCCACTATCACGCCGCCACCTCCACCTTCGTTCCACGACTACCACCAAACATATAAAAAAAAAAAAATTCCAAAAAAATTTTTTTGAAAGAATTTTTTCGTTAAAAATAGAGAGTTAAAAATCCTAACACTTTTTGTGTGTTTATAGTAATTGGAGTGTTACGTTTAGAAAAAATATATCAATTTTTTTTTAATGTGTTACATTAGAGTATTACGTTTTTTGGAGTGTTGCGTTTAGAAAAAGTACAGTACATAATTTTTAGTGTGTTACATTGGAAAAAATACACTAAGAGGTTTTTTTTTGAAATATTACGTTTAGTGATTTTAACATTATGAGAAAATCCACATTTTGACCCTTTATATAATTCATACTAGAATGAGACATTTGTATCCATAAAAAAGAAAAGAAAAAGAAAAGACCAAAGAATTCATAAGATTACTATTTAAGATTTATTGATACTTCACCAAAAATATAATACGCAAATGTGTTCATCAAATCATTATTATTTCATTAATAGTTCCATCAAACTATCTATATGCTTCATAGACTTTATAAAATTGTTTTGATTGTGTGTGGTATGGAAACCCTTATCTCGAATGGGGAGTGGGGACTGTATGATGAAGACTGTGGAGTCAAGGCCACCTCTTCATTTCCTTAGTAATAGAGTTAGATAGATGCCTGACATCATCAAAAATATATATAAGTTCATTTTTTAAATTTATTTTCTAAATTTAATGATGTATAAGTAAAATAATTAGTTAATAATTAGAAAAAAAAATATGAACGAGACAAATAGCACATGAGAGTGATTGGTTAATTGATTATTAGATTTGAAAAATAAGTCTAATTTTTTAGTTTAAATAACACTACTCTTTTGTCATTAACAATGTTATATATAATATTACTTTTTATTAATAAATGCATATGAAATTCATTTATTTAGAAAAAGAAATAAGTTGTATTTGTATCGTAGGAATTTGAAAATAAAAGAAAATAAAAAATATGAATAAAATATAATAGATTACATATTTTAAGAGCCGACGTAGAAAACTAAAATATTATAGACTATAGTATAACAAGTAGCATTTTTTATGAGCGTTAGTATGTAGTTAACCCCAAATAATTAATTATACTCACCACCCTTATATTTTTATGAAAATTTCACTTTAGCACTTCTACTTTCAACCATACAAACATGGGCCAAATTTATTTATTATGTTGTGGTAAAGTTAAGATTATTTAAAAGGGTTTTTAGTTTAAGGTTTTTTATATTAAAATTTTATAAGATAAAGGATACTCAACATTGTCATAGTAGTTGGGGTCCCTCAATATTTTCATAGAGAAATTTCAGCATAGAGAAATTTTGGCACAAAGAAATTTCAACATAGAGAAATTTGTTTTCACAGAGAAATTTCAGCTCTTCAAAGAGAAATTTTAGAAATTTTACGAAAAATTTAAGCTCGTCATAAAGAAAATTTTAATAATATTATTGAGGGCTCTTAACTAATAAAAAAAAAAACATATTAGACCTCTCCTACTATCAAAAGTTGGAGAGAGATGTTTCACTAATTTTTCATATTTAAAAGTGCTTTGATTTGATTTCCAATTTAATTTTGTTAGTAGACGCCATTAAATTCACTGGTAAATTTAAAAATTGAATTAAAAAACTACACTTTTAATCTAAAAAGTATGCAATCTGTGTCATTTAGGTCATCAATATTTACAAATCCATGAGTAAATTTGATTTTTTATTTAAATTTAAAAATCTTATTAATAAGTGTTCTTATCGCATTAGTTAATATATTTAAAATGAATGTACAGTTTTTTATAGATGTAGATTGTCAAGAATATAACCATAATTTACAAAAGCCAGAATTTAAATAGCCCTGCTCTTGAGTTAACTGACTGGTATTTGGATAGAAACTTACGCTTCATTTGTTTGGCTGAAAAATATTTTTTTTTAAATAATTTATGCATTTTTGGCATTTGGTACAATGAAGAACAAAGTCAATAAAAAAACATTTTCTATAGTCAACGGCAAACAAATCTATTTTGGTTGAAAATATTTTTTATATTTAAAAGAAAAAAAATATTTTCCAAACTAAAATTTTACTAATCTTACCAAACTATCACCTCTACCACCACAGCCACTACTACCATCACCGTCGCCATCATTGCCATCACCCCCCACTATCACGCCACCACCTCCACCTTTGTTCCACCATCACCACCAAACATATAAAAATATTTTTTCCAAAAAATAATTTTTGAAAGAAATTTTTCGTTAAAAATAGAGAGTTAAGGAACTATGTATCATTTTCCTAGATATTTGTATATATATTGCAATGGTTGTTTATTTTCGTTAAGTTTTGTCACCTTGTGTTGATTATGTAGATGCGGGTGATTTTGAAGACTAGGGAGCCAAGTCCAGCTAGCTCCACGACAGTTTTGCCAATATGCCAAAGTCATTTACTAGCCATTGATCTCCTCCACACAAGTATCAACTTCTCAATCAAGTCTTGATTTAAAAGATGGCTTTGTTGGCCAAAACAACCACACTCTTGCACAAAGCCCACCACATGGAGAGATTTTACATGAAGTCTCTGCTGGCTGTACTGGTACCCGTATTAGCAGTGCAGTCTTGCATAGTTTCCCAAGCCTTTTCATTCTCAAACTTAACCGATCAATCAGCTTTGCTTGCTTTCAAAACTGCTGTCAAGTATGACCCTAACAATGTATTGGGTAATTGGACCACAAGAACCAATTTCTGCAACTGGGCTGGAGTCTCGTGCAGCCGACACAGACAAAGAGTCACGGCCTTGCAGCTTCCGAGCATGAGACTTGGAGGCACCATTTCTCCTCATATTGGAAACCTCTCATTCCTCATGAAGCTTGATCTTGTAGAGAACAGTTTCCATGGCTTTTTGATTCAAAACCTCACTCGTTTGCTTCGCTTGGTAGATCTCAATTTACATGACAACCTGTTAGAAGGAGAGATCCCAACAAGCATACAGCAATGTCAAAAGCTTCAAGTTATTTGTCTTGCAAACAATAGACTTGTTGGTCAAATACCGGTTGAGCTAACCACCTTACCTTTGCTTCGTGTTCTTTACTTAGGGGGTAACAATCTTACAGGTACCCTCCCACCTTCTTTTGGTAATTTGTCAAACTTTGAAAGGTTCTATATAGACGAAAACTATGTTTATGGTAACATTCCTAATGAGATAGGACATCTTAAGAAGTTGAAAGTAATAGATTTCAATGGAAACTATTTCACCGGGTCAATTCCACCAACAATTTTAAACATCTCCACTCTCCAAAAGGTTTTTTTTTCAAGGAACGGCCTCTCAGGAAATATTCCTCCGAGTATTGGCCTTGGGCTTCCTAATCTTGAAAAACTTGATCTATCTGAGAATAAATTTAGTGGAAAAATCCCTTTGTATTTGTCCAATTGCTCAAAGCTCGATGGATTAGAAATGTCTTTTAACCAATTTACAGGGCCAGTATCTAGAACTTTAGGCCATTTCCATATCCTCGAATGGTTTTCTTTGGCAAATAATCCATTGGGGGGAATCATACCTGAATCCATCGGGAACCTTTCGAGTAACTTACAATATTTTGATGCATCGACATGCCAAATAAAGGGTGAAATTCCTAAAGAGATTGGTTCCTTAAAAGTGAATTTTCTTGCACTTAGTGACAACGATATTCATGGAACTATTCCATCAACAATTGGGGAAATGAAAGGCATGCAAAGGTTGTATTTAGATGGTAATGAACTTGAAGGTCCCATTCCTGATGAGATATGTCTATTAGCCAACGCGGGAGAAATTTCTTTCCAAAATAACAAGGTCACTGGTTCGATCCCTCACTGCATTGGAAATCTTAGTCATTTGCAGAGACTATTCCTAGGTTCTAATAAATTGAACTCGTCTATACCATCAAGTTTATGGAACCTTGAAAATCTCTTGTTTTTAGATTTGTCATCCAATCTGTTAGGCAGGAACCTCGATCCAAACATTAAGGTATTAAAAGTTTTGGAAAGCATGGATTTATCTTCAAACAATATTTCAGGTGATATTCCCAATGCTATAGCAGCTTTTCAAAGCCTTAATTCTCTTAATCTGTCAAGAAATTCATTCTGGGGATCCATTCCAGAATCATTTGGAAACTTGATAACGTTGGACTTCTTGGATTTATCCCACAACAATTTATCTGGTGCAATACCCAAGGCTCTTGAGGCACTTTCACATCTCAAATACTTGAATTTGTCTTTCAATAGATTATCCGGGGAAATTCCAAGTCAAGGGCCTTTTATGAACTTCACAGCAGATAGTTTTATAGGCAATGAAGCACTCTGTGGTCCACCAACTTTACATGTGCCACCCTGCACAAGTCATAGAATGCAAAAAGCGAGAACAAAATTGCTTATTGAAATCATTATGCCTACCGTTGCATTAGTGATAGTCTCTATTGCTCTCTTCTTCATTTGGAAAATGTATCAAGGAAACAATGTGGAGAAGTTGAATTCAATTGGATTATTGCCTGTAGTTGAGCATAAAATGTTTTCATACCAAGAGCTTTCTAGAGCTGCAAACGACTTTTGTGAAGCCAACTTGCTCGGTGTAGGGAGTTATAGTTCCGTATACAAAGGAGTACTTTCTGATGGAGAAATAGTAGCGTTAAAAGTTTTGAATTTGCAAGTAGAGGGCGCTTTCAAAAATTTTGATGCAGAATGCAATGTCTTGCGAGCAGTTCGCCATAGGAACCTTGTTAAAGTCATTAGTACATGTTCCAATCCAGAATTAAGAGTTTTGGTTCTTCAATACATGCCTAATGGAAGCCTCGAGAAGTGGTTATATTCTCATAACTTCTGTTTGAATCTCTTTCAAAGAGTAAGTATTATGGTTGATGTTGCATTAGCCTTGGAATACCTCCACTACGATCAAGCAGAGCCTGTCGTTCACTGTGATTTGAAGCCTAGCAATGTTCTGTTAGATGATGAAATGGTTGCACATGTTGCTGACTTTGGCATTGCAAAGATTTTAGCACAAAACAAGACTACAACGCAAACAAAGACTTTGGGCACCCTCGGCTACATTGCACCAGGTATGCCTCACACATTCGTGTAACTTTTCCTTCCAAAATTATTCTCTTTTATGACAATGATACATTTTAGAGTGGCAATTGTAAATTTTTGGGCAACCATTTTTGGGCAACCATTAACGCTATAACAGTTCCATGCAAATATTTCCAGGTATGTGGATGAGTTTTGAACTTAGCTCGATTAATTTAATTGCTATTTTGATGTTGCGATAAAAGAAAAATTATAAGATCAAGTTGCCATCTCTATCGATTCTTTTTTTCCCCAGCAACATTATAACTGATTCATTGCTAATAAAGTCTTTTGTTTGTTTCTGTATAAGTTTAATGTGATTAATTTGTCATAAAAAAATAATATTTATTATGTGAGCTTAGTTTAGATCACTTCTAGTTAGCTTTGGTTGGTAAGTGTAATCTTAACTCAGACTTCAATCCAAACATGCCATGTTCCTGTCCATTAGTAGAGAATAGGAAAATTTATGGGCTTGGATGTGTAACTCTGTACTAGTACCAAATATTCACAATCCCTACATGGTTAATTTTCAGTCTCAAATTTTTCCTATGATGGCACCAACTCCTAACACTTGGTCTCATCCAATGCATGCAACACACCCACGCAATAATGTTTGTCTAGTACTTGAGATAAAGCAACACAACAATTACGGAAAAGCCTAACCTTTATTATTGCACCAACAATTACAAAGGAAAGCCAAATGCCAAAACTCCCAAATACTTGATAATTTTTGAGTTTGCATGGCCATTCCCATACATAGGCTACAATTAGAATATTTGAAATTCAAATAGGCAACAAAACTCAAGGAGAACATGCCACATGGCATGGCAGTTGACACCTCCAACTGCCAAAGAGTTAGGACAGATCTGAAATAAACCTACAGAAATAACTGCCACTAACTGCTCCTACATTTGAGCCTTCCTTGTCCCTTGCCAACATGTCTTGGTTTGTGCATATCCACCCCTATATTTTAGGATGCCTTTGTCTTGCCTTAGAGAATTCAAATTGAACAAGCCACCAACCAAATAGAGTCCTGTGTGCCATCTGTTGGTCTTGGTCCAGTCCATGTGCCTTGCTAACTAGCCAAGTGTCAACCACGCCTTACTGTCTAGCCAAGTCAAACCATTTGATTATATTAAACTCCCAAGTATGCTACAGCCTAACATTAAGGTCATGTTAATGCCTTGCATCTACCATGTTGCCTACAGTTGCCACCACTGAACGGCACAATCACATTGGCATGCCTTCCTCATGCCTTGGTCCAAATCGAACATAGGTGTAAGGTGTCACCAAATGTCAGGCCGTTAGCTCCCAAATGTCAAGGTGCTAACACCTAGCCTATTTTAGACCAAAAACAAACACTATAAGAATTTTCACTTTTGGCGACTAAATTTTTAGTCACCAAAAGTTAATTTTTAGTCGCCGAAGGGTTTCAGCGACTAAATTTTCTGGTCGCAGAAGTAGTCATCGAAGAATTGTCAGTAAAGGTCATTAGCGAAAATGTGAGACTTTAGGTGATTAAAAGTTTGGTCACCGAAAATGTAGTAATTTAATTTAATGTCCAACTTTTTGGTGACTTAAATTTTAGTCGGCAAAGAGTTCTTGTTTTGGCTACTAAATGATAATATTTACAGGTCTAAAACAAAGCCTACTCTTAATTACCAAAATTTGGGTATGGTACAATATTTAAAATGTTAAAATTTGTCAAAACTTGTTCCAATAGGAGAAGTGAAATTTCTTTTACTTTTTATTTCAAAATATATATATCAAATACAAATAGCATTTGTGGGACCCCATCAAGAGATATAGAGAGATTTTTTTTTTTTTTTTTTTTTTTTTTTTTTTTTTGCAAAAATTTTTTTCCTTCACAATGGACGGAAATACTAAAATTTAGCGGGCAACTGCATTGAAACTTCTTTTTTTTTCCTTTTTTTTTTTGGGGGGGGGGGGGGGGGCTATACCTTATATAGGCATTGAACATGCTCTAAGAACTTTTTATTTTTATTTTTTTATATTGTAATTTTTATTGTCGTGCTTCTTGTCAGAGTATGGTTCTGAAGGAAGAGTTTCCACCAAAGGCGATATATATAGCTATGGAATAATGTTGCTAGAAGCATTCACAAGAAAGAAACCAACAGATGAGATGTTCACTGAAGCACTGAGTTTGAAGCAATGGGTGAATGCTTCACTTCCAGATCGAGTAATGGAAGTTGTGGATGGTGGTTTGTTGAGAATAGAAGATGGTAGGGATGCGATTGCCAATAAAGATTATCTTTTGGCCATTATGGAAACAGGTGTAGAGTGTGCTGCAGAATTGCCTGAACGGAGGACCGACATAAAGGATGTGGTGACCAAGCTTAACAAGATCAAGTTGCAGCTTCTTCGCAGTGGATATGCTTGATTTGTATATGCTCTTGTTGTCATGTGTTGTTTAGTTTGCCCATGAGATCCTCTGTTTGCTTTGTTTCAAAACATTTACAATCGTTGATTATGCTTTCAAATTCCCGTACTTTAAGATCCTCAAATAATTGAACTTTGAATATTTTTTAACAGTTTTGAGAGCAATGATCCTTTGCTTTTAGTTTGTTCCTCATATACCATGTATGGGTGTTTAGTAAATTTAATTGTGAATATCTGAATGAAATAATTCATGAAGTCGCATTAGAAGGGCTCAAATCTTATTTTTGTTTCATTTAGTTGCTGGTAGTGCCTATGGCCTAGTTAGGTTGGATAAAGGTCCTTGTTGTGCCCCTTAGGTTGTGTTTGGTTTAGGTTTTGGTAAGAGATTTGAAAATAAAAAATATATATATATGTGAAATGTAAAAGAAATATAACTACATTTCACACACTTTTCATGCACATTTTCTATTTCTCTTTCCAAATTACTCACCAAATCTCTAAACCAAATACAACCTTAGTGGACCCCACTTCGGGCCAACACAACACTTCGAATGGTTCATTCTGGTAAAGTCTGTATGAGATGATCATTTATGTAAGAAATGAAGTTGATCGGATATCGATAGCCACACGATGAGCTCAAATTTGTTTTAAAAAATATGAACGATAAATGTGATTTTGAGAATAAACTATCATATTTTTAAAAAAATTAAATCCAATCATGTAGCCCTTAATATTCGATAAATGTAATTTTTTTAACATAAATAATCTTCTCAACCTGTTTTACAAGACAAATAAATCGAATTATCAAAGTGGGTCCAAATTGAAGTCGATTGGGAAGCAAAGTACTCTCTAGTAGACATTTTTATTAAGTCATTGAGGTGCACGTAAACTAACCCGAACACTCAATCATCAAAAAAAGAAAAATAATAGTCATTGAAGTGAATTACAAGCATGACCCTCCTTCCAAGTTCCTCCTCACAACTTTGAATTGATAGCGGTTTTTGTCATTGAAGCCTTGGATTGAAAAATATGTCTTGGTTGGGCGTCTTGCTTAATTGTGTTACTTATTTCATCAATTACAATTTTTTTTTTTAATCAAAATCTATTTTCTCTCTCTTCAATTACTTGATTAATTACTCTAAACTTGGTTTCTAATTTGACATTCACCGTAAAACTATGAACCAAGAGTAATTTGATAAACATGTACCCGTATCGATACTTACCAAGTAGTGATACTTTCTATAAAACATTTTATTATTTCAACTTTAAAAAATTAATATTTTTTTATGAGTGTATCTAGCTATACTCATATCTTCTTTTTTTTTTTTCTTTTTTTTAAATTTTATCGTATTGATATGTCTGTATTGTATTAGTTCTCCTAGTCATACTCATGATTCATTATAAGCATCTTCATTGAGACAAACAAAACCTGGGAAACACTATGGTACATACCCTTCAAATGGTGTGTATCACATGCAACTACAAATTAAAATGACATAATTTCATATTTTCATAATCATAACTAAAAAAAATATCATAACTAAACACAACATAAGTCATCACTAAAAAACTCATAAGTCGTCACTAAAATAATGTCGTAACTAAAATAATGTCATAACTAAAAAAGAAAATTGGTCATAATTAAAAAAGAAAATGACTTCAGTAGGTGTACATATAGTATACCATTTTCTAATGCATGTATATTAAAATTTCCCACAAAACTTTTATATAATCTTTGATAAATGATTTGACTAATAATTAATTTTGTAAGAATTTTTTAACTTTTAGTGACACGTTCAAAATGATCTTTTTAACTTCCGAAAGCTACAAAAGTCAACAATAATCAAGCCAAGCTTTTATAACTCAAGCTTATTTTAACTCGAGCCTAACAGGTTTATTAATCGAGTGAGTTCGAATTTACGGACTAGTTTGGTCCAAATACACAGCCAAACAACCTCGAAGAAGTTGTAAACACACCAAATTGAACTACCAATTAACAGGTAGGTTGGTTGCAGGAATCAACAATTTTGTTCGGGAGGGACTAACGTATACACATAAAAAAAATATATATATATATATTGGATTAATTTTAGTATGTTACTAATATTGTACATAATTTCTTATATAAATGTTTAAAAAATGTATTTGACAGGAAATTAAATAAATCCAACATATAGTTTTTCTAGTTTTTAAAAATTTTGAATTATTAGATCTCAGTGTATAATCCATTAAACTATCGTTTTAAGTTATTTTATTGATTCATATAATCTAGTAAATAAGAAGTGAAAAATGTTTAATACTCTTAAAACATAACCCTTACATTTACACTCAATAATGTTGAATGTTACATATCAATTGATTTGTTTAGAATTCAATCAATTAAGATTCAACCCTCTGCTGTGTCATTGTAGATAAATTTAGAGGTATAGTTTTAGATTCTCTACTCATAAAAAAAAGTATACATACCATTTTATTTTTAAAGTTAAAAAAATAAGTGACATTTGCCTCTTATATTAATAAAATCGATTTGATAAAATTGATGTTATTATTTAGAATGTGAAATAATTATAGATCATTTTCATTATATGTTATGAAATATTAATGAAATAGAAAATTAATCAAGTAATTTTTATAAAATTAAGAAATCATCTAATAATATATTTTATAATTCTAAAAAATTGAATTAATCTAGGCCCTTCCGACATTTACAGAGTTCCGCCCCTGATTTGGTTCATTTGCAACACTAAATAGGGGTGGTATGTATGAAGACTGGGGAGTCAAGTCCACCTCTTTATTTCCTTGAGAATTAGATGGCTTCTTTTCATGGCCCTCCAAGTTTCAATCTTTCAACTTGGAAGCAATAGCTCTGGTCATTGAAGTCTTTGATTGAAAAGATGGCTTGGTGACCAGTCTTGCATAATTGACGGAAAAATTTAAGTGTAGAGATTAAAATAAGATTTCGATAAAAGTATATAAATGCTAAAGATTATAGAGAGATTTTGATAAAAATGTAAAGAGTGATAAGTATAATTAATATTATCACGTAGCTGTTTATTGTTAGTTTTCGAAACAACGTTATGTAAATAGAACATACTGCAACTTGACTTAAAGTCTAATGACTTGAATAAGATAATTAAAAACTTAAAAGGGTAAAGTAAGATTAGATATAAAAGACAGACTTACTCAGACACCATGTTACAGTCGTACCGATGATATGTCCCAATCCATCTTAGATTGTGAACCACTTATATTCTATAAGAATTAGTGATCCGATCTTCCGTGCATAAGTCGTACTCTACACACTAGATCACATACTTCGTATAATAAAAGACACACACGCAGAATATTAGACAAATAATATAATGCAAATATTATTCATAATGATTCTCACTAAAACTGGAATAATTGATATTATTAAAACTAAATACTAAAAATCTCATTATACAAAAACATGACTTTTAGTATATTTTTCTAACATATACGTACGTGTGTATTCGGCATTTGAAAAAAGTTTATTAAAAATAAAAATAAAAAAATTAACAAAGTATTAAAAAAATTCACCAAAACTTTTTTTAAAAAAATACTAAAGAAAAACTCATTTTAAAAACTAAATAACCAAACAAATTTGGATTTTGATTTTTTCACATTGGCGATTTCCTAGCCATTTCGATTAGCAGAAGGTTGAAGTTATTTAGTTGGTCAAATTGATTGAGTGTTGAGTCAGATTTGGGATGGCTGCTGTGAGGCCAAATGGTCCCACTTCGGGCCTATTTCGATAATCCGAACCGTTCACATTTTAGAATGAGTAGAATATACCTATAAAAAATCAATTTAATTGGATATCGCTAATTCTCTCATCCACTCACATTTGTATTCATTGTAATACTTTAAATACAATTGTTATTTATTTTTGTAGATAAAATGTGAGTGAATGAAAGGGTTAAAGATATCCGATTACCTTGATTTTTTGCAAGTATGTTCTACTCGATATATTCTAAATGTGAACAGTTCAAATTATCGAAATGAGCTCATTTGACCGCACATCAACCACCCCAAGTCCGTGTCAGCTTAGGAATCAAAAACCCACTACACCCAATTCGGCCAACATATGAAGACATAACAATAATATATCCCTCTAAAACTAGAGCTCTAATTGAGCTCTCGTGAGGTGGAAAATCAAAGAAAAAAAAAAAAGAAGGCCAAAACATCATATCAGATGGGCCTTACATACACATTAGAGCTATTACAGGTCACAAATTAGAGCTCCAAAACATTTTAGATAAAGATAATACACTTTTTTCAAGCACACACCTTTTTTTTAGTAGCCTAAACATGAGTTATAGGACTCATTAAATTAATATTGAGTGACTAGAAAAAGAAAAGAAAAGAAAAAGATCAATATAGGGTGGCACAAGAAAGGATATATACATAATTATATTTGTCATAATATTACTATTTGGTTAATAGTTCCATCAAAACATCTATTTGCAGTAATAATATAGCGAGAAATGTGAAATAATAATAATTTTAAAAATTGTTGATTCAACGAAAAATATCGAAAGTAAGATTCGTCTATAAACTCGTTGATTCATGAAGAATATCTAGAATAAAGTCTCAACAATGATTAATTTTCAAAAAATACTTAAAGTTGGAACACAGAGCATAAAAAAATTGAAGAACCCTAAAGCTTACAAATAGTATTTATAAGTAAAAGTAAACCTAACCTAGTAAGAAACAATTAGAATTAGTAATTTTGTAGTAAGCAAAATAAAAATAAGAAAATATAACAAAAATTATCATAAATAAAAATATTACAATAAAAAAAAAAAAAACACTACTAATATATGTTAATACGATAATGGAAAAATTGACGAAATCGAATTCCAAGGTCTGCACTAGGAGTAATGGAAGTTACAAATATTTTCAAAAACCACAAATTCTCAAAATAGAAGGCCTAACGATGAAGTTTTTTCAAAATTTACTCGGGACCGTGAAAATTTGATGGATCATGCTGTGAATCGTTTTTTCCATCAATCCACCAAATTTTACTCAATTCCAAATCCGGCCCGTTTTTTCCTTGCTTGTGTAGTTACTGCAAGAATTGGGAGGTCCTGCATGCTACATCAAGTAATGTTAAGGATCAAGAGTTCAG